AAATCATTGCAGAAGAAAATTAAGTCGGGTAAATTGGACATTAACGAAGATAATCCATTTGAATTGTTTGTTATTTCAACTAATATTCGTTACTGTTACTATAATGAGACACACAGAATATTAGGTAATACATATGGCATGTGTATATTACAGGTATGTATAATTTTATCTTTTCTTGCTTATCTATTTTATAGTTTTGTTATAATGTTATGTATAATGATTTTAGGATTTTGAGGCAATTACTCCAAACTTATTGGCACGTACTATTGAAACTGTAGAGGGTGGTGGAATTATTGTATTTTTACTACAATCTATGAACTCTTTGAAGCAGTTATATACAATGAACATGGATGTTCATCAGAGATTCCGTACTGAAGCTCATAAAGTAATAATATAACACTTTTTTTTAAATATATTTGAAACATAAAATTAATATTATATAAATTAATATATAATTTCCATATACATATAGATTAATATAATTTTTTATTTATCTTATTAATTTAGGATATAGTATGTCGATTTAATGAGAGATTTTTGTTGTCATTGGCTTCATGTACTCGATGTTTGGTTGTTGACGACCAACTGAATGTATTGCCTGTTTCCTCTCACAATCTAAGGATAGAACCTGTGCCTAAGTCAGATGTTTCAGAGGAACAATCGAGCTTGGATACTTTAAAGGAAAGTCTGCAGGACACTCAGCCTGTATCTGCATTAATCAATTGCTGTAAAACAGTTGACCAGGTTAATTAACATAAAAATTAATACTAGAACGGCTGATGGTATCACTTTGGCTCTGCTAATTATTTCAATTTTTTTCTTTTTTGTATTAGATATGCAGTCTAAAATATTAAAAATATAAACATAATACAAATAATGTTAACAACATTAATGATAATTCTAATACAAATAATATCAAAATAACTTTCCTAACTGAAAGCAAGAATGAAAAATTACCAAATTAGCATCATCGACAATCCCAACGAAATCTATACTATCAGCTGATTTGGTGTTAATTATATATAACAAGATTATTATTAAATGTTTTTTAACTTTATATTAAATATTTAAATATGATTTAAACATTTTTTTTTTTAGGCAAAGGCAGTTCTTAAGTTTATAGAATGTATTTCTGAGAAAACTTTGAGGTCTACTGTATCGCTAACTGCAGCTAGAGGGCGTGGAAAATCTGCTGCGTTGGGACTTGCTATCGCTGGAGCTGTTACTTTTGGATATTCTAATATATACATCTCGAGTCCTAGTCCGGAGAACTTGAACACTCTTTTTGAATTTGTCTTCAAGGGTAAATTTATTAGATTAATCGTCATTTTTTTTAATTTAAGAAATCGTCGATTGTATAAAATACAATTTGTATATTTATAGGGTTCGATGCTCTGGGATATCAAGAACATCTCGACTATGGTTTAGTACAATCCACAAATCCAGAGTTTAACAAGGCCACTGTCCGTGTAAATGTATTCCGAGAGCATCGCCAAACAATTCAGGTGTGTAATTCTATTTTTAAAAAAATTAAATTTTTTTTTATACATATAAATTTTTTAAAATATATCCATACAATTTATTTTGGTTTGTAACAGGATATCCAGACTTTTTTACGGTATTACAAATTAACATTATTTTGTTTTTTACAGTATATACATCCAACAGACACCCACAGGTTAAATCAAGCAGAGTTACTTGTGATCGATGAGGCAGCAGCAATTCCGTTACCCTATGTCAAAGCGATGCTTGGACCTTACCTGATATTTCTCGCGTCAACTATAAACGGGTAAATCACTCAAACTTTCCTGGAATACAGATAGATTATTAATTCTCTCATTTACTAATATTTATAGATATGAAGGTACAGGTCGGTCTTTATCACTCAAATTGCTACAGCAATTGAGAACGCAAACTGCTGGGTCAAATAGCCATAATGGGAAAAATGAAAAGGAGCAAAATGAGAAAACTCTTATCGGAAGACAATTGCATGAACTTACTCTTGACGAATCAATACGTTACAAGCCGGGTGATGCTGTAGAGCAATGGCTGTGCGATTTACTTTGCCTGAACGTTACAATGCACGCCCCCATTCTTTCTGGATGTCCTCCTCCCGATATGTGTGAATTGTATTATATAAACAGGTATTTTTTTTTATATTAATATAAGTAATTTTTCAAATGCTTATAAATTAAAAAATAATACGTACTTCTCTCTAATTTTTTTCAGAGATACATTATTCTCTTATCACAAGGCTTCTGAACTGTTTCTGCAGAGATTGGTCTCTCTGTATGTTGCATCACATTATAAAGTATGTATTCCATAAAAAAATATTTTTTAATGAAATTGTACTTTATTAATATTAACCTAATTAACTATTAATATATTTTAGAATACCCCTAATGATTTGCAAATGATGTCTGACGCACCTGCGCATCATCTATTCTGTCTCTTGGGACCTGTAGATTCCAACAAAAAGACTTTACCTGAAATATTAGTGGTTCTTCAAGTAACTATAATTCTATGCAATTCAAATCTAACTATCTCAATTAAAATAAATTTCTGACATTTATACATTTTACATTTCATTAAAATCGACATTAAATGTAAAAAAATTAATATTTTTTTTAGACTGCATCTCCTGAATTACTTTTATTTTATAATGAATTTATTCTATACGAAGAGATACATTTTTTACGTTTTAGATTTGCTTAGAAGGCCAAGTCAGTAAAACTAGCATAAACGATGGTCTCTCACGAGGTCGTAGAGCAGCGGGCGACTTAATACCTTGGACGATCGCTCAGCAATATCAAGATGAAGATTTTCCAGTATTGTCTGGCGCGCGCATTGTTAGGATTGCTACACATCCTGATTACCAAGGAGTAAATATTTTTCTTTTATAACTTGTCGAAACTTTTCGACTTAAAATTATATGAATTTGCTAAAGAGACAATAAATTGCAGATGGGCTACGGCAGGCGTGCATTGCAACTGTTGAAGCAATATTACGAGATGAAAATGCCTAATATCAATGAAAGTGTTATAGAAGAACCAATAACAGAAATAAAAAATGTTCCCGATGAAGCAGTTAGTTTATTACAAGAAACTATCGGTAATATCCGTTTATCTATAGACATTTTCTATTTTTAAACAGAATTTTAATAACTAATATTTTGTTTGAAAAGGAATTCTATTAAAAACTTAATAAGTTTTTAACAGAATTCCTTTTCAAACAAAATATTAGTGTTTTAAAATACGATTTATAATACAGTAATGTTTTCTTTACAATTGCTTGCAGAACCGCGCAGTTCGCTGCCACCGCTTCTGTTGAAATTAAGCGAAAGACATCCAGAACATCTGGATTACATTGGAGTGTCTTTCGGAGTTACCGAACATCTATTGAAATTTTGGAAGCGATCCAATTTCGTACCTGTGTATTTAAGGTGTGTACCAATGTGATAAAATACAAGGTCAACTAATCTCAAATTTATATGATTTTTCAGACAAACGGCAAATGATATAACGGGAGAACATTCTTGCATAATGCTTTGTAAAATTAACGTAGAACAAAATAATGATAAGTGGCTGCAAGCTTACTGGAGCGATTTTCGTCGGCGATTTCTAAGTCTGCTCTCCTATTCATTCAACATCTATACAGCGTCACTTTCATTAAGCATATTAATTAACAAAACATTATCACTTGAATCTGTCAGTAAGTATATTATTAATTGTTATTAATAATTTATTATACGTATCAATTATTACTGTTACTACTGATAGGTAAATAAATTTTTCTCTACTTGTATACTCTGCGAAATTAATTTTAATGAAGATCCCTTAATTAACATGTTTATGAATCTAAATTAAATTCTAATATCTGTTTCAGCATTGAGTAAGGAAACAATGAACGTTTACTTTACATCGTACGATTTGAAACGCTTACAAATGTACAGTAACAATATGGCAGATTATCATTTGATTATGGATTTGGTGCCGTCTTTAGCACGTCTATATTTCTTAAATATGATGGGAGACACTCATTTCTCAGCAGTGCAATCGGTAGGATATATTCCAAATATTTTTATTTCATATTAAGTATTTTAATTCATACTAAAATCCTGTTCGTTCTATTCAACACGCAATAATTTTTAGGCTATTCTACTTGGCTTGGGCTTACAACATAAAACTGTCGATAAATTGGCAGAAGAATTGAATCTCCCATCTTCACAGTTGCTCGGTTTATTCAATCGTATAATACGTAAATCGATCCAATATTTCAACAGAGTCGCGGAAAAATATATCGAGAGCACTATGTTGCCCAAAGAATCGACTAATGAAGGAATAAAATTGGATCCTTTAGGTGGTCAAAATTTACGCAAGGAATTAGAAAGCGCAGCTAAGGTTTGCATTTTACATAATTTATTCTCTAAATTCCCACTTATGTAATATATATAAAAATAACATTCTCTATTATAGGATTTAAAAATTAAACAAAAAGCAGAATTAGAGAAACTGAAGAAAGAAAATTTGGAGCAGTATGCTATCAAAGGATCGGAAACGGAATGGACTAGTGCGTTATCGGGCAAGCATAGTAAACATCTTATCTCTATAAAGACTGGTGAAAAAAGAGCTTCAGCAGATGATAGCATTCAAGAATCTGACAAAAAACACACAAAGAAAAAAAAGCAACGTACATAACTTTATGTATAACATGAAATAAATTAATTAATTGAACAATTGACTGGTTTATAAAAATAATTCCACAAGTTTTTTGATTCATAACAAATTTATTTTGATTCATTACATAATTATTATTTATTAGAAATTATAATTAGAAAAATATAATATGATATATGAGTATAGGTTTAATAAACATCACAGATATTTTCTTTATAAATATTCATAACATTTTGTACCAAATATGCTAATAGCTAAAAAAATTAAAGTCTATATATGTATAAAAAAATTGTTTCTAGATTTTTTACATAATCGTTGGTATTTTAGATCAATTTATATCAAAGAAATTATTTTCTATAATATATTTCACACACTGACAAATTAAATTTCTCTCGTGTTGTATAGAACGCGAAAGCAATTTTTCTAACAATTGATTATGATATCTACGTAGAAAAAATTTCTCATTTTTGTTACTAACTACTATGTTTGGTTCGCGGCTTTGCTTATTTTGATCTGTAACGACTGTACTTTGAAATTTATTATTTGATTCATCATCCGCGTTGGTATAAGACTGCGCATTAGAAACCTTTTCACAAACTTCCGTAGAATTTTCTTCATGAATTGTATTTTCTGTAATCTCATCCTGCAGATTCTCTTCCGTTTTTCTTTTTTTTATAGATACTTCTTCTGGACCATCATCTAAAGACAAAATTAGTACCTTAAAATGTTTTGTACGAAAGACTATTTACACCGATAAAAAATTAACTTTTAATAATTATATGAATTTCACAAGCTTTCTTATATTAAAAAATATAGATGATAAAAGGCTAATACATGCATACTCGATTGATTTAATAAATATTAAGATTTGCACATTACTTACCACTGTCTTCACTTTCATAATCTGCTACTAAACTAGGTAATATAAGCGAACTGGTTACAGTTGGTAAATTAGTGGACTCTGCTGCTGTTTGCGATACATATTCTGGTACTGTAGATGCATGCGGTATATCATCCTCATCCGAAATATTATCAATATCTTTTCCACAGAAATTTGTTTGTTCCACCTGTTCATCTAAGTAAACCGCACCAGTTTTTTCTTGCAAATCAGCTATAAAAAAGAATCAGTTTTATCTGATATTTTGTGTATAATATAGAATAAAATTTTTAATTATTAAGGAGAGAAGTAACAGAATTATATATCGACATTACAGGTTAAAAAGTATTACGATTTGATCGTACAAATTATAAAACTTCTTTACACAATTAAAATACGCACAAAAAAGCTGTGAGACGATTGATTTAACGAGAAAATAAAAAAAAGTTAAATGATATTTAGTATCCTTGCAATTTTTTAACTTTCTTCGATTTTCTTGCGTCAAATCGTTCATCCCGTTTTTGTGTATATTTTAATTGTGTAAAAAGAATTTTACAATCTGTATAACCAATTCGGAGTTCTTTTTAATCTGTAATATGCAATTTTATTTACTTTCTTTGATTTTCTTGCGTCAAATCGTTCATCCCGCATCGTTTTTGTGTATATTTTAATTGTGTAAAAAGAATTTTACAATCTGTATAACCAATTCGGAATTCTTTTTAATCTGTAATGTCGATAATTCTGTCATTTTAGAATCCTCGTGATATAAACTGATTAGATTATAATTTACATAAGCTAAATTTTATAAATTGCATAATTGATTTAATATAGAATCAAAATGTCAATAAATTTAATACAAAGATCTCAATTTTTTTCTATATACTAACATTGTAAAGCAAATTATATTCATAACAAATATATTCCCATAACTTACTTATTCCACCAAACGGGCGTAAACCTCTATATGTTTCTTCTGTACGGATACAATTGCTGTTGGTTTCGCGTGTGTGCCGTTTGCGAGACCTGCGTTTTTTCTCACGAACATTCGTCTTATTTGTTTTCGATCGTATATTATAATTCTGCTTGATTACTTCTCCCCTTTGTACTTTTTCTAGCTCTTCTGCCTTGCGTAATTTTATGTTGTCTTCAGTGGGATACCTCCTGTTTTTTTTTATTTAAAAAAAACAAATTTTTATTACTTGTACTTACTAATGCATTTACATTTTGATATTTGTTAAACTTACTTTTTCCGTTCCGTTATCCATTTTTCAATATCTTCTGGTGTCGATAAGTTCTTCAATTTTTGGTACAAACCAGAACGATGCTGCATACTAATATGTTTTTCAACGAGTGAGGGATGCGCCGAAAATGTGCAGCCATCAATCCCACAAACCATGTGTATGCGTTTGTGATCAGAGAGATCATCCTCAGATGGGAAATCTCTATCACAGACTTCGCAATAATAAGTCTTGTTGTCGTCGTCAGAACTGACATAATTTTCATCTCTCATATCGCATAGATCTTCACTATCTGGATACAGATGAGCCTAAAAATCGTCACCTTCCTTTTTCACACGAAGATCTTAGTATACATTTACTTGCTCGTAACATATCAACAATACGTTGCATGGTCATTCTTAATTGTATGCTTTACAATTTATTGCACAATTTTTATTCCATTTATCTTTAGTTATAAGCAAATATAATACCATAATCTTGTACTGTACATCTATTATTAATAATTACCTTCATATCAATAAATAATTATTATTCATAATATCTGAAGCTATGAAGTATTCAACCGGGGTATTCAGAAATTCTCTCTCTACATCAATATATTTACATATGCGAGGCAGCGAGACACAGATCTTCCTTTCACTGTTTACTCCTTTTTAGACTATTTAAATAGTTATAAATTTGCACATATTTTGTCGAAGCATACAATAATAATATGCATAGCTTGTGTAGTACTTGCGACGTCAAAAGCTCGTTGAAATATTTTATAAATTATATATATATATGTAATAATAAAATACAAAAAATCTTTATAATCGCAATTGTATTTTTCTGTATATCATAAGTATTAATAATGTGTATACGTGTTAACGCATTTCTATTTACATTTCATATATTAGCATGAGATTTATGCATGTATCATAAGCTTGCATCAATCATTGCTTCATTAATCTCTTTAAATGTAAATTATTAAATTGTAAAAATTCACAAAAGATTATTTTCATATTTCAGAACGATTATTTCAACACGTACCATTTTAGTGATTTATAGTGATAGAATGATGGGAAACACCAGAGAATTAGAACTTATAGAAATATGATTTATTCTTATAATACTTATTTCAATTACAAATTCATTTTTTTGTTTGTCATTGTATATTTTCTGGAAGTTATTTCTGGAAACAAATACCTTAAATATGATACATATATAATCATGATCATTTATAAAAGTGATATTACTAACTAACAGAGCCACAAGCTATGTCAGACTTTTTTGTTCACATTAAAATACGCGTTTCATGTAAATAATCTATAAATTCGTTATCTATTTTAATGTCGCAGATTAGATACCGTAATTCTGTAACTATTTCTTACATATAATATAGCTTGCGGCACTGTATACTGGCCATGTATACTAGACATGGAAAAAACTTTGAGAAAAATTTATTCACAAGCGGCCAGTTTTTACATGCCTGATAAAAAATGATTACATCTAGTTAACTGTCATATTACAAGTGCTTAAGTAATAAACTATATCCGACACTATATCCATATGAGTAGATACATATCAATATACATTACTCAACAAAATTAAAGGATCACTTGTTCCACCCTGCAAAAATAAGTAAATTTCGAGATAGAATAACTTTGCCAAAAATCATCGTATCAAGATTTTTAAAAAAGTATTTTAAAGCTTGAAATTTCTACTTTTCAAACCTGTACTTTAAAAAACCGTATTACTCATATTTCATAAAGTTACACAAACATAAATGAAGATGCATCAGATCTCAAAATTTTTTACGAAATTTGTGAAGTTTCACGGATCCAAGTAAAAATTGTACACAAATGCGGTTTACATCTTTCGAAAGAGTGAATCTTTACCTTCAATTTCTTTTTTTATGAAGCTTGGTACGATTTTTTTTCACCGAGTTATTCAACGTTGAAGCAAAAAGGGTCGTTTTTGCTTCAATGTTAAATAAAAAAAGTAAATTAAAGATAATGACTTATAATAAAGTTTTTGCATACAAAAATGATTTGAAGTATTCAAAAGTTAGTTTTAAGCTTTAAAACGCTTATTTCAAACATTGCTTTGTAATCATTTTTCGCAGAGATACGTAAACCTTGATTTTGACCTTTTTAAAGCTAATTCTAAATGATCCTTTAACTTCAAGATAGAATGACTTCGTAAATAATGATCGTAACGAAATTTTTAAAAAAGCATTTTAAAGGTTGAAATCTTTACTTTTGAAATCGGTAATTGGTATTTTAATCCGACTGATCCTTTATGGAGCTATACGGACATAAATGGATACCTGTCATATGTAAAAATTTTGTAAAAATTTTACAAATGTCTATGGCGTGAAGTAAAGATCACACAAAAATGCAGTTTACAGCAATCGTAAATCTTTACCTTCAATTTGCTTTTTTATAGACCTCCGTACGTTTTCTTTCACCGAGTTGTTCAACATTGAATAAAAAGTCGTTTTTGCTTTAAAGTTGAATTCAGTAAAAAAAAATCGTACAAAACTTCATAAAAAAAGAAATTGAAGGTAAAGATTCACTCTTTCGAAAGATAAACCGCATTTGTGTATAATTTTTACTTGGCTCCGTGGAACTTCGCAAATTTCGTAAAAAATTTTGAGATCTGATGCATCTTCATTTATGTTTGTGTAACTTTATGAAATATGAGTAATACGGTTTTTTAAAGTGCATGTTTGAAAAGTAGAGATTTCAAGCCTTAGAATACTTTTTTAATAATCTCGAAACAATGATTTTTTACGAAGTTATTCTATCTCGAAATTTATCTATTTTTGCAGGATGGAACAAGTGATATTTTAATTTTGTTGAGTAGTGTACAATACATAAAAAAAAAAGATGAAGTAGTTCTCACAGATGGCCTAATTGCTCTAAAAACTATTTCAACTAGCTGCTACTTTCTCAACGTTATTTCATCAGCACGTTTTTAAATAGCATACACTTATGATGTAAATAATACAAAAGACATACGATTGTTATGTCGCAAAAATTATGAAAAAAAGAGGTGGAGTGTATCTACATATATCAAGATCCTATAGAACTTATAGCGATGATACGGGTAAAAAAATTTGCTAGATATCAAAATATAAGGATCAAATCGTTCTGAAGTTTGAAAACAGATGGTTGTGTATCATTTGAATTATATAATTCTTTAATAGGAGGAGTAGCCTCTTAAGCTTAAGACTGTGCCTGTTTGCTGGAAGGCTGCGTCTCCTCCTTTTGCTCCGTTTGTTCTGATTGTTCAGTTGAATTCACAGTTTTCTGAACACCCCTGGATTCATTCGTATTGCTATCATCTGTTTTCTGATTACCCTGTAAAACCAAAGTAAGCCATCAACGTTGAAGGAAACACGCCGAATTTTCGTCGCACAATGACTACATACGTTTATAGAATATGTGTCTAGAATTAAAAAATGTACGTCTTATAATAATATATTTGCTATTAACTCATTCCCATATCTTGTCTATTAATTTTTATTGCACATTTGTCATCGGAGAAACAAAATGTAGAGTGTCTTTATGTTCCATAGAAAAAATATAAATCTAGGACGTAGTGTAATATCTCACGACTTGTCAAAAAATATACCTGTTTCACTTTATATCAAGTCATGCCATACTGTTGTCCTATATATTTTTTAATATAACTTCAATATTAAAAGAAAAATATCATACTCAATAATTAGAAAGGTTGTAACTCATTTATTTATTAAAAAATCAATCAATTTATGCTTTTATTTATCTAAAATAAGACAAATTATTGCACTACCCCTTATTCTCAATTAAAAAACAATAATTAAAGTAAATTTTGTTTTTCATGTACAATGAGATAGCATGCAAAAAATTGCTATGCAAATTATTTTCACCCATATAATAATTTGTTCATATACATATACTGATTAACACATACATAAACATACACACACCCATTACCACATACACGTTTTAAAATAATAATTAATAAATTGACATCAAGTGATATAAACAAAGAATAAAGACAGAAAATAAAAGTGTTAAGATATTGGATAAAACAAGCCAAGTTGTACAAAGAAAGTAATTTTATTGCAATCATATCAATTTTTTCTTCGGAAAAGTTTCAAACTTAAAATAAAAAGTATTAAAATAATTTTGACATAACAGCGACAAAAACGATACCTGTTCGGGATGCTTTGCAAGATATTCATTTTTTGCATCTCTTATCATCCTTGTTACTTTGTTTCGAAGATCCTTAAATTCCTCCCATTCTACGGCATCTTTGTTCTTTTTTGCTTTAGCATACAGTTTGTTTTTTCTTTGAATCTCATTACGAATTTCATCTGTCATCCATGGTTTTTTTAATTCTAATTCCTAAATAATTATATTTCTTCAATAAGATTTAAGTGTCAAAAACTTAATAACTAATACAAAATTTTTTTAGAATTTAACTACATACGTGTACATTACTAATTATCATATACTATAAAAGGAGAATTTAATCTTGTCAAATTAGTTTTCGAATGTAACAAAAATATGTAATAAATACATTATACTAGAAACGATCTTGCTTATAAATCTGTAGTCAGGAATAAATCCATGATCATTAAATCAAATAAACCAAGAGCTTGTTTGTAATATTTTTATCAAGACTAATGTGATTCAAGGATAAAAGCAACTTTAACAATACGACGAAGGCCAGAGAGTACGTACTTCGATCTTGCCTTTCTTAGGGTTACCCATCGTCTTG